CACAGCAACCTCCAACTCCTGGGCTCAAGCGAGTCTCCTGCCTCCGCCTCCCAAGTAGCTGGGACCACAGGCACCCGCCACAACGCCCGGCTATTTCTTGGTTGCAGCCATCATTGTTGTTTGGTGGGTCCGGGCTGGATTGGAACCTGCCACCTTAGGTGTATGTGGCTGGCACCTTAGCCTCTTGAGCCACAGGCGCCGAGCCAGGCTTTCCACATTCTACTGTTATTCTACATTTTATAGAGCAGAAAACTGAGCCACAGAGAGGGTGTCATGCCTCCCAGGGAAGTGCAGAGGACCCAAGATGGATCCTGCACACACAGTAGGTCTGCATCACAACCAAGGAACCATGCATGCATTTAGGAAACTCCAATCTATTATGATGGGCTGCAAGCAAATCTGCCCAACTTCTACCCGAGAGAAACCAACTTTATAATCCTGGTCAGCAAACAAACCTGCCCTCTGGTCCAGAGGGGAGCCCTGGCTCTATTTTCCAATCAAGGCTGTTCACCATATGAACATCCCTGAAAAAATAGCCCTGAATTAAAGTTGTCACTGCCTCAGTGCACAAGATACACAGAAACACCAGAGATCTATTATCTTCCAATATTAAATAATTTGCCCAGGGTCATGCAACTGGTAACAGTAAGAGACAGGATCTGAACTAGACTTTCTGGCTCTAGCACCCATGCCCTTGATCATGAGGAAATACTGCCTCTTAAGGAGTTTGGCCTTTATTCCATAAAAGATGGAGAGCCACCAATATGTTCATAAGCAGAGGAATGACATGCTAATATCACAGGTTTAAAAGTCATTCTAGGGGATAAACAGACAAGTTTAAACAAGATTCAACTCCAACCTTTGGACCCATGTATCCAACTGCCCCCAAATTCCCATGGGGTAGTTCAGGTAAAGGTGGCCCATTTGGTGCCCACGTCATAGTGGCTCTGCTGCTCTTGACAGCAACTCCCTCTCTTGGCCTCCTCTTTCCTTCCCTGGACTTTGATGACAGTGTGTCCTGGGGGTATTATCTGTGTGGCTCTGCCTTTACAGAACATGTGTAGTTACACCAGGAGACTCTATGCTTCATGCACCCCCAGGACTTCTGGGGGACAGACCACCTGCCTTTGCCTTCAGAGAGCTTGGCCCATCTATCTCTTCACTCCCCAGACACTTCTTCGAAGCCGTGCTGCCTGGGCTGGGTTTTCAGGTCACTGTTTCAGCGAGTACTAAGGCACATCCACACACACACAGCTCCGAGGGCTCACTGTATACAGAGCTTGCATTTGCTTTGTTCCTGTTTTACAACTCAGGTCTGAGCAAAAATCCCTGACTCCCAGAATTGGGGTGAACAGTGTGGATATCATTCTGATGGGTGTTGGAGGGAGCACGTAGAATACATGCACAGGACCCCTCAACAAAATCCCAGTGGCCAGACAGGGTCCCCCAAGTCTGTTGCCTTCTCAGAAATGTTCTGGCCTCTCCTCAACCGCACTGTGTGACCAATGGAGACCACAACAGTCACCCTGGTGGTCCAGAGAGCAGAGTTTGGCCCTTCCTGCAAGTCAAGGATATAGGCTTGGGAAGGAGACGATGTGGAAACACCCACAGCCTTCCTAGCCCCTTCCAGCCCTGGGAATCCATATTGGTCAGGAAAGGCATCACAGAAAATTGGTGCTAGAGCTGGATTGTGAAGGATAGTAGGATTCTTTTTTCAAGTTTTTAATTGCAAAGTTAATTTTCTTTTTTTTTTTTTTTGAGACAGAGCCTCAAGCTGTCCCCCTGAGCAGAGTGCCATGGCATTACAGCTCACAGTAACCTCCAACTCCTGAGCTCAAGCGAGTCTCCTGCCTCTGCCTCCCAAGTAGCTGGGACCACAGGCGCCCGCCACAACGCCCGGCTATTTTTTGGTTGCAGCCGTCATTGTTGTTTTTGGCGCGGATCCGGGCTGGGGATTCGAACCCGCCACCTTAGGTGTATGTGGCTGGCACCTTAGCCGGTTGAGCTATAGGCGCCGAGCCGCAAAGTTAATTTTCAACAAAATATATATAGATATTTTTGACAGGAGACAGTACAATGCTCCCCCTCCACCCCCACACCACAGCCCACTCCCATTCCTGCTGTTCCTTGGCGCTAGTCCGCATGCCCATCAGGCATGCCACACTAGCCCACCTGTCACAGACTGCAAGGCAGGGAAGTGCTTCTGTCCTGGGACATTTGATACTCAGAACCCCCTCCCCCCAAGAATGCGGAGGTGGGGATTTCGGTCATCCTCCGAGATTACAGCAAGATTTTTGTGGTGGGGGCGGAGGGGAGTGAACTTTGCTCCTTTAGGAGGTTGGAGGAGGGGTGTCACAGGCAGGTGGCAGTTTCCTATGGATAGGTCGAACCCTTCCCCTCAGCCCCTGCCTTTTTTTTTTTTTTAAGGGACAGAATCTCACTTTACCCCGGCCTTTTTAAACTGCTCTCACCTCAGCTCCTGTAGTCTGGGTCCGGTCAGACGTGCCAGAGCTCAAAAGCTGCCCTAATGCATCTATCTACCTGTGCGACTATGACAACGACATGACCTGGTTGGTTCTTAGTTTCCCCATTTGTATTGTGAGCATGTCCACCTTGAGGCTTAATTACGACCGAGCTCTTAGCACACCAAGCACAGAGCCCACCCCTTCCCAAGTAGCTGTCAGCATTGCGGGCATTGGGAGGGGGCCAGAGCACAGAAGTAGAAAGGTGGGGGTAGCCCAGGGGCCTCGCCGCGCTGCCATCGAGTCGCCACCCTCTGCGCTGTGACGGCAGCAAGACAAAGTCCTAGGTGCTGCCCCCGCTCCTCGCCGCGTGGCCAGCGGAGCCCCCACCTTTGCGCCTGGCGCGGAACGGGTGCGGGGCTGGGCCAGGGCCGGCCCGGGGGAGCGAGTGGGGCGGGGCCGCCGCACCCGCTCCCCCTCCCCGCCGCCCGCCGCCCTCTCCTCCTCCCGCCACCCCGGCTCAGAGCGGCGGCAGCAGCGGCCGCGGCGACTGCTCCAGCTCCGGCTCTGGTTCCGGCTGCGGCTCCCGCGTCGGTCCCGCTCGGCTCCGTGCGCCCGGGCCCCGTGCCCCGACCCCGCCGCCGCTCCTGCCGGGGGCCTCGGGCGCCCCCGCCGCCCGCCTCACGCTGAAGTTCCTGGCAGTGCTGCTGGCCGCGGGCATGCTGGCGTTCCTCGGTGCCGTCATCTGCATCATCGCCAGCGTGCCCCTGGCGGCCAGCCCGGCGCGGGCGCTGCCCGGCGGCGCCGACAACGCCTCGGCCGCCTCGGGGGCCGCTGCGTCCCCGGGCCCGCAGCGCAGCCTGAGCGCGCTGCACGGTGCGGGCGGCTCGGCCGGACCCCCCGCGCTGCCCGGGGCACCGGCGGCCAGCGCACACCCGCTGCCACCTGGGCTCCTCTTCAGCCGCTTCCTGTGCACGCCGCTGGCGGCCGCCTGCCCGTCGGGGACCGAGCAGGGGGACGCGGCGGGCGCGGCGCCCGGGGAGCGCGAGGAGCTGCTGCTGCTGCAGAGTACCGCCGAGCAGCTGCGCCAGACGGCGCTGCAGCAGGAGGCGCGTATCCGCGCGGACCAGGACACCATCCGCGAGCTCACCGGCAAGCTGGGCCGCTGCGAGAGCGGCCTGCCGCGCGGCCTCCAGGACGCCGGGCCGCGCCGCGACACCATGGCCGACGGGCCGTGGGACTCGCCCGCGGTCATCCTCGAGCTGGAGGACGCTGTGCGCGCCCTCCGGGACCGTATCGACCGCTTGGAGGTGAGCGCCGTGCGCCGTCGGGGGAGTCGCCTGTGTGGGAGGGGCCGGCCGTGTTCCTGGGTCTCTGAGTCTCGGGTCTCCCGTATATGTAATGAGGACAGTCACTCCTTCGCTGGCGAGGCAGGAAGATTCTGGCAGGGAACAGGGGTGGGAGTCTGGCACCGCGACTAAGACCCTGAGGTGTGCCCGAAAGGCTCACTTAGGCTATTTCCCCCTCTCTAGACACCTCTTTGAACCTCAGTTTCTGCGTCTGTAATACGGGTACAACAGTGTCCACTGGTATTAGAAATTGGTTAAAATGTGGGTGTGTGAAGTGCTAGGCATGTGATAGATCTCACTCAATGTCCATTTCATTTCCTTCTTCCAGACACCTCCAAATTATTGCCAGCCCCACACTCACTTTCTATAGTCAGGAGGTAGGATGCACTGTCTGAGGGACTGGGGTGGTTGTTCTCTCCTTTCCAGAGTGTGGAACAGAGTGCTCAATAAGACAAATCTGGGTGCCCCCACCATCTCCCACCCCTGAAACCCTTATCTTGGTTCTGACTACTGATGGGCCTGAGGGCAGGAGCTCAGATGCCCGGAGCCCACAACTCTGGGGTGGGGGCTGGGTGCAGAATAGGGCCTCCAGCCCCGACCCCGGCTCCTTCTCCTCCTCTCACCTCTTCCAGGCTTTCCTGGAATAGGCTTTGGATGAGACACCCGGGGTCCTGCATGAGGGAGGCTGCTCTTGGCTGTCATGTGACCCTGGTTAGTCATTTCCTCCTTGGAGTCCCATCACCACCTTCTTTCCCATGAGAACAAATGTGGGGTCCCCAGAAGTGTGAGTCAGACTAGGCAAGGTGAACATCTGGGACACAATGACCACCGCCCGCTAGGGACTGACTTCCAGGCCACAAGGAAGGTGATTAGCAACAAAATTCACTCTGTGGAAGGAGGGACAAAGAGGCCAAAACACTGGTCCCTCTATACCTCCACCAGATGGAGTGCGGCAGGCAAGTTAAGGAAGGAGAACAGTCGGAAGTAAATCCAGCCTCCTCAACCCCCAGGGCTCCTTATGTTAAATCCTGGGTGAGCAGTACAGGCTATGCCCATGGTACAGGCTATGCCCACGGGATGTGGAAGGTTAAATGAAGATGCTGTGGTCCTGCAGCCTTCCAGGATGTTGCCCCACAGGGTGGTAGAGCACAGCCAGGTAGCCTCTGCAGCCAGCCCCTAGCCTTACAGATGAGAAAACCCAGCTCAGGAACCTCTGATGGGCAGTGGCAGAGGCCGGAGGAAAGCCAGGCCTGCACCCTTTCTGCGCCACTGCCAGCACTGAGGGGTTTCTAGGACGAGAGAACCAAGAGCAGGAAAATAGTCAAAGAAAAACTCAAAGTCCACAATGAAGGGAGTTTCCTCACCTGTAAAATTGTAATAATAGCACTGAACTTATTGGGATGGTAGGAGGGTTAAGTCAGTAAATTTATACCAAGGGCCCAGAACAGTGCCTAGCACATGGTTATGCTCAATCAGTTTAAGTGGTTGCTATTTTTATCATTAACCTATAATATTATAATTTTTAAAATGCAGCCAAAAATAAAAATGCAAACAAACCTACCTTTAAGGAAACAAGCTTTATTAATGTTAAAAAAAGATTTGATGTTTAATAAACTTCCTCTTGCCTGCCATAGTCCTTGCCCCCACGTCCAGATGGCACAGGTGGCTCCTCCCACGTCTGGGGCTGGCAGGGCTGGACTTGCCCTGGACCTGTTCCCCCAGCACCTGCAGCACTTGGTGGGGTGGCCTCTCTTCTGATCAACTGGCTGTGGTTGGGGGGATCCTGATGGCTGAGATTTGGCAACAGGTCAAGCGTTCAGTCTAGGGGAGCACTGGGTTCCCCATGTACACCTTCTCCACTTTTCTGAGTGCAACAGCCATGAACAGAGAAAGGTGGGAGCTGCTTGGCCAACCAGGTCTGCCTTCTGAGCCTGGCAGTGGCCACAGCCAGTCTCTTTGGAGCCTTTGGCAGGGGCTGGGGTCTGGAGCTAAGGGTCCAGGCTACTGGCCTTTTCTGGGCCTCATGCAGTCATCAGTCACTGTCTCATTTCTCCCCTCTCTTCTCATTCAGTATTCTCTAAAGACCCCAGGTTTGGGGGGGGCCTACTTTCTCTCCCACCAGTACTATTGCTGACATCCTCAAACTTAATAAACTGAGTGGGGACTTTTCCATCCTTACTTTAGTGGACCCCTCAGTCACATCTGACCCCACTGATCATTCCATCCTATAGTGCCCTGGGCTTCTAGATGCCTCTTTCACTGTCCCTCCTCCTCCTTTTCCTCTTATGACTGCTGCTTCTCTGTCTCCTTGCAGGGGCCTCTGTTAAGGTTTGTGTCCCTCTTGGCTCTTGCTTTCTCTGGGTGCACTCAGCCACACCCATTCCAAGGTGGAACCCCAAGCCAAAGCTCAGTCTCCAGCCTAGGGTTCATTCCCAAGCTCCAATCCCCACAGATCCACCTGCTTCCTGACATCTCCCTCTGGATATCCCACCAGCCCCCAGCCTCTCTGTTTTCCACCTGCTGCTTGGGTGTCCTCTGCGAAGATACCCTTGGCTCATCCCTTACCTCTTGTTTCTGGCCAGCCCTCTACCTGCTCTCTACCCATCTTGCAGTCGCCTCTTCACCTCTTTGCTGGTCTCTCACCTGCAGGCACAGCCCTCCCTCCTTCCTCCTCCAGGCAGCCCCAGTCTTCCTTTCCCACTGTGGACATCCCCTATGGTATAGGCACCTCAGCCCACTCCCAAGCTGCCACTTCAGATCTAGTCCTTCTCTCCTGACCCCTCCCACAGTTCTTTCTGCATGGATCACCCCAGCACAACCCTGATCCTTGTCAAAGACTCTCCTTGAGCACACTTCTTCCCTGAGGCCTTTCCTGATCATACTCTGTCCCCTTCTTATCCCACCCAAGCTCCCTTAATCCTCACACTTCCCTGCCCATCTTCACTCAGCACATCCCTGCATTACCCCTCCCCCATGCCATAGGCTGACTACTAAAAGGGAGGGAAGATTGGTCTGTCCTCCTCTGTTTTTATTTTTGTTGTTCATTGGAAAAAGTCAGAAGGTTTCTTAGGGGGGAGGAGGGAAATGGAAAAGGTTTTTTGGGGGGAGGAGGGAAATGGCATTTAATTGCACGGTTTTCTCCCTTTTGCAGCCCCCTTTTGATCCTTTTCCACATGCAGCCATTGTTACAGAGCTGCTGTGTAATTACCATTTTAATGACTTTCATAATAATCCTGGGATTCATCTGCAGCTCTACCATCCATCAGTGCACTTGACCGGCTCCCGATGCAGGAGATATAGGTTGTTTCTAATTATTTTTTCTTCTGGATGCTCATTGCAGGATCAATTTCATGCAGAGACTCGTTTGTTTGTTTTCTTTTTAAGTCTGTTGAATTATTTCTTTAGGCTGAATTCCCAGGAGTGGTATTACTGGGTCAGAGGATATTGACTTTTTATGGCTGTGGCCAAGAACCACTTTCCAGGAGAGTTGGCCCATTCATGTAGCAATGGGGCTGGGGCTACGTATGCACGTTCCAGTGTTACATTTGTATATATGTATATAGCAGAACCTCAAGATTGATTTAAATACATTTCTTTGACATCAACCATATCCTTAGCCCAACCTGGCAAGCTAGTCACCTCCCTTGATCCTAGAGTAGAAGTCAGTAACCACCAGAGCACACACTTACTGTGCACTAGTTGCGTGTCAGGCACTGTGCATTATCTCACTTAATCCTCATGAAATCTCTTTGAGGGAGGTGCTTTTCTATCCCCCTTTTACCAAGGTTCAGAGAGGTTAAGGAACTGGCCCCAAGTCACACAGCAATGGAGGTCAGTGTCTGGCTCTAGAGCCCTCCATCTTCATTGTTAACTCTAGATTCAGCTGGAGAGGTCGGGCATCACCCACCTTCAGGAGAGTGACCTGGACAGATGAGGACAGGGCCTGGTGCTGTACACTGCCCTAGACCACTTCCTGTCTCAGAGCACCTGGTGTGAGAGGGATGAGGGCCTGTCCTCAAAGGTGTGTCCTGCTGCTGGCAGGATAATCAGGAGACTTGCTGTGGGACCTCTTCTGCTGCCACTGCTAATAACAACCAACACTTAACATGCACTTGCTGCATACGGATTAGTCAATGCAGTCTTCGACCTTGTAAAGTAGGCCTGACACTTTCCCATTTTACAGATGAGGAAATGGAGGCTCAGAGAGTCTAAGGGACAGAGAACCCAGCAGATCATTCAGGTTCATGTTCCAACTCTGTCATTTGAGGTGAGGTATTTGACTTTCTTAACCTTGGTTTCTTGTCTGTGAAGCAGAGATTAAACAGCAGCCCCTTTGTGTGGGAATAAATGAAATCATAGTAGGGCCTCTGGCACAGGGCCTGGTACAGAATAAGTGCTTGGTGAATGATTGCTGGGAAGAGGAGGTAGGAGCTGGACTCTAGCCATCTGCAGACCCCACCAGCCCTTCCCCACTGGGGCTGGCCTCCCCCCATCTCCAGATGGGACACCCACACTGGGAGGCCCTAAACCTCCTACTTCTGCCAGTAGTGGGACCATCATTCCAGGAAGAAACATGGACTTTTAAACCCCAGCTCTGCCACTTGCTTGCTGTGACCTCAGACAATCCCTTCTCCTCTCTGATCCTCAGTTTCCCCATCTGTCAAATGGGAGAGGTGGGCAGGATGTCCCAAAAGACCCCTCTTGCTGTCACCTCGAGCCCTTGAAACCTCCCATCCCTGACAGTGCACCTTGCTGTTGCAAGCTTGGCAGGAGCTGCCGAGGTGGAAGGCAAGTACTTTCTTTTTAGGTATATCTTACATTCAAGATATGTAAGAGCTCACATATCTAACTTATAAAGGACACAAATCTTAAGTGCCCACCTCAGTGTAAATTTATATATGGATACACCTATGAAAGCACCACCTAGCTCAAGAATCAGAACACTCCCAGTGCCCTAAAAG